TGACGAGCTCGATGGCGTAGGCTTCCTCTTCTTTGCGCCACCGGCCTTTGCGCAGCGGACAGATCTGGTTGAAGATGCTGTTGGCGTCAAAACCAACGTCAAAGAAGGTCATGCGCCACCCGTAGTTGCTGGACAAGGGCAAGATCGGTCCAGCCCAGGGCGATGAGGGTGGCGTGTCGTCTATTGTAGGCACGACACAACGCAGTGAAGTGCTGAGCCGTGGCCGCTGCGGGCGAGGCCCAGCGTCGTCAAAGACGTGGGCGCGCTTGTGAGCAAAATGCGGTCGCATCCATTGAACGTCTTGGGACATCGCAGTGGTTGACGCTAGCGATGCGCAGTGCGCCTTGATCGCGGCACCATCGCAGCACGGCACGGGACCGAGCGGGTTGAGGAGGCGGCTGATGTCCATGGCCGCAAACTACCACTAACGTGGCGGCTGACGTTGGCGAGGCGCCGTTACGGAATCTCGTGGTGGCCATCAATAGAGCTGAAACCGGTGCGCACTCGGGATTGGATAGAGCATTTTGGGACGTTGTCGCGCGATGTTCTTGCGCGGCGTGACTCCTCTTGTCTCCGGTGTCCTGAACGACCTCTTTCTGTCTATTTCATTACCTGGTGGATCGCACGAGTGGTCACTCTTGACCTAAAACATGAGCCCTTGCATGACTCCAGACGGAGATTCACACTTCGAAATATTTGGCTTTGCTTCAGAAACGTTGTCTATTTTAAGAGGGTGGTTCAGACCTGGTTGGGCCGCCTCGAGCACACCGGAGAAGTATATCTGGACTTCGAGCGACGGGGCTCGTTTCGGCCATTCAACTCGAGACACGGCGTCGAGAATGCCGTAAGCCGTGAGGTTGATGCTTGCAGCAGCGTGTTTGCCAGAAACACGAACGTAACCGACAAGCGAGCTTTGTGAATTAGCATGTACGGTCATGCGACCGAATCGTTGCCAGGTGCCTCCTTGGGTTGGCCTCAATTTGACCACGATGGTAAATCGCTCGTCCTATATTTCTAGTAGGTTAGACAGTCCATCTATCAAAAACATTTCTCATCCTGGTTGCACCGTGCGATATATGACAAAACACGCCCAACTGCGTTCGTAATGGCCCACGGCCGCCAAGGCCAAGGTCCGTTGGGACTGCGGTTGAGTTTCGGACCGACACCATGAGTTTGGTCCAACCACTCTGGATTGGCCGAAATGTGGTCTTATTTGTCTGTCGCCCAGCGTTTGGATTGGCTGCGAACCCACTTAAACAGGGCCAGCGTTGGCCTCGTGATTATGAAACCGTCAAACACGAAACACGGAAGGATGCAGAATCATGAAGCTTAGTGTCCCATCGAAGTTATTGGACACCTCGCTACTGCACTGGAACGACGAGGCACATCGAGTCATGTCCAATGATTCTACTACGTGCTAGTCGACGCCATGGGACAATATCTTTTTTATCGACCCTTGTCGACGCCGTGCAACTGCCGCGACCTGCCGCGCCCAACGTATGATTAGTGCCCCGACTTGGCACGATTTGGGGTGGCAAGCGAATTACCACGACCCACATATCTTCAAACGTTGTGTGTTTAGAATTGGAAATATATATATCTTTCCATTGGTTCCATACGCTCCCAAAAGATTGCTTTCAGAAAATTTGCTCTGGCGTTCGAAAATTTCTGTATAACAAACGAGGATTTTGGCCTCCTGCACAACACAGGCGCACAGGCTCGAGAGCGGCAGGACCACGTGCAGATTTCACTCTTTTCAGCGACACTTGATGGTGCCCTAAAACCTCAAGCGTCAAGCCACACAGGATCTTTAAGCGGGAAACTGTACGGCTCGCCCGTTACGAAAGGCGCTTCCCATTTTCGCCAATAAAATGCGCTTAAGGCATGCTGTCGTGGCCGTTGGTTGGCCAGAGAATTTTATTCTACTTGTATTTTGTCCTATCAAAAATCAAACCGCCTGAAACGCTCGACGCGATCATACATCGGTGCGACCACTTGCATTTGCTCGTTTGAAGAATGGACCTCCACTTGATCCTGAACCCGTGTGCAGTCCACGAAGACATGGACGTCTCACATCTCGAGCCGCGTCTTGCAAGAACCGTTCATTGCGTCGAGTACGACGAAGCGCCAACCAAGAAGCGCGGTCCGCCGGTGCAGCTCTCATCTATGTATTCCAAGCGACCTCGGCTAGAGTGCGCCGTTACTGTGACCCACCAGCCTCACTTCAACTCGGCCTTCCCAGTGTACGACTCCATTTACACACACTGCGATGAA